CAGAAGAAGTATGCAACTGCCTTGCTAATGGCATTGCAAGCCTCAGATTACTGCAATTTTGTTTAGATCATTACTATGTCCTATTCCACCTGATCATAAAGAAAACTTTTCATTCTAGTTAAGTCTAGCTTAAATATTGGAATAACGCCAGTATCTTTACGTGATCCCTCGTTGCAGACTACATTTCTGCAAAAATGGTACCGTAGTTACGATTTTCTATACTTTCTTCACAACTCTTTTGATGTTTGGCTTTAGTATAAAATTGTGGCACACACTTGGTATAATAGGGCAGTTAGTTTTACTGATGGTACGTAAAAACAAAACACTTTATAATCTTAAAAAATGTATATGGGGTGATTTTGATATCTTATGGCAGCCATCTTGGAAAAAGCCGCCATTTTGAAATCTAAACTTTGGTTCATAGGTTATATTATTAAAAGCATCCAGCACTACTAACATTCCAAATTTGAACTTGTACAAGTGAAATTTCAAGGTCGGTCTATAGCTTTTATTTTTTGAAACACCTCGCACTACTGTCATGCTAAATTTGACCTTGAACGTGACCTTATATAAGTGATATATGTTGATTTGGATATTTTATGGCGGCCATCCTTGAAAAAGCCGCCATATTAAAATTGCAAGGTGGGTCCATAGCTAATGTTTTTTGAAACACCCAGAACTACAACCATGCCAAATTTGGTGCTATCATCAAACCCATAATTTTGTCACTAATCTGCCGGACTAACTATATTATATACTCGTAAACTAATCAATCCGTTTTGCATGGGAAAGGATTTGTATAGGCTTTGCCTTTTTCCAATCCCTTTGTTTGAATGTTTGATATTTGAACAATAAAATACTAAAATTTATAAAAAAAAATCAGAATTTTGACATAGCATATGGACTTTATCTTCGAGGGCACAAATCTATATAAACATGCTTGATTTCACTATTAGTGTTTATGAAATGATGGTGTTTAACTTATACGAATACGTCTGAAAAGACATGTATGGAAAATTGTTATTGCAGTTTTGATGAGTACGATCGTTTTATTTTTTACCAACTACTAAAGGGATATAATATTTTCTAGTCCGTGCGTCCGTCCATTTCAAAATTTTTAATTTTTAAAATAATATACTCAATAAGTAGTAGAATCGGGTTCAGTATTTCACTGAACACAAATTTGTGATAATGTGAGGGTGCAAGGTGTCTTATAGCCACATATTCTTGTTTTAAATGGTTGAATACATATAAATGTATGTGTATCTCCAATATTAGTGACCGCCTCGGTGTCTTGCGGAAGCGTGCCCGCTTCGAGTGCGGGAGGCATTGGATTCAATTTCGAATTTCGGCAGGTCGATACTGATACTTTAGCTTTGCACAAAGTCTTGATATTCAAAACTGCAGTGGAAAAATAAACATCGAAAATGGAAAGAAATAGCGTGCCGTTTTGACTGCATTACGCATCGAAATCGTATTATCTTATTTTTCTATGTTTCTTATAAATGACGCATGCACTTCAACGATTTATTCGGTTTTCCCTGTAAATTGTGTATGAATAAAAGGGGCGAAATATGCTCTTCTTTATTTTTAAAGTTATGGTGTATTCATTCTTGAGATAACTTCTCTGAAGTGTGCCACATCATTCTCTCAATATAAGACCGTTCTGTGTACTTAAATCTTAATAAGACGCACACCACCTATTCTTGGCCCTCATTCCTTTCCATGTTAATTTTTCATTTTCAAACATTTATAGGGGCAGGACCAATATATTACGTTATTTACACATCAGACCGTACTGGTTACTGGAACATTGGATACAATAAACTAGGTACTTCATATACTCTATATATACTACATAGTTTGATATTAACACCAATGCGTACAAAGTATTTTATGTTAAATATGTATTATTTCCAGTATGTTCTTTTTGACTGGGTTCGATTTAGTAACGTTACATCTCAAAAAGTCTATCGTCAAGAAGAGGGGCACAGTTTGTTCACATGGGAATACCGATTGTTTGTTGAAAAACATGTCCTCCAAATGTAACAAATATGTTGTCAGTCAAGAAATCAAGCATCTTGAAAATGTCAGTTTCAGAGAATTTTTTGTTTGAATCAGAGTGATTTTTTACAAAGTAGGATTTGTCACTCTCTAAGACAAGATACTTGTATTTACGTTGGCCATTCTTTTTTATGAAACAAAGCAGGACCAACTTTTTCAATTTACACCATTTACATGATATATTTATCATAATCGGACGAGTTAGCAGCATATAGTCGTCAATTATTTGTTATTCTTACTCTGCACTTTATCGGAAAAGTGTATATATGTTACACAATACTGTATGTACTATCAACTACCAGAACTTTTTTGTCGTCTTTTTCAGATTTATTGTCAGTTTTGTTGTATGTCTGAGATAAATATTTACACAGTTTTGGCTGATGGATCCCAACTATTGTCACGTAACCAGTTATGTCTGTTTAATTTCCAAGGTTTAGACCACCATTTTCTTTAGAAAATGTCTGTTCCAAGAGAGGAACATGACAGTGTTTTCCCTTAGTTCCGTTGGTTGATGTAGTTGACTGGCTGATTATGTCAAATTTTTATGGTTATATGAAGCATTATATGAGAAATTATCATTTACTGAAATCTTAAGAACATGAAGAAGTTTAATGTATATTCTAAAAGTTATTTCAAACAAACATCGTCAACAGTTACTAATTTCTCTGAAGTGACAACAGCAAAATTCCAAGATTTGTGCCATAATATATTACTGTAAAAATATTAATTTATCAATGTTATCACATTACGAGGGTTTGTTGGATGTACCGATTATCAGGTTGTCTGCATATTGACATTGTAAAATATTAGCTTCGAGTCACAATATGAAGCTTTTAGACGAGTGAGCGAAGCGAATGAGTTCAAAAAGGCTTCATATTTTGTCGAGCAGCTGATATTTTACAATATAAATTTGCAGACAACCAGATAATCGATTTATCTGGTTGTATTTGCGTATTTTACATTATAGAAACAAGTGTTTTCTTTGTTTCACCAGCAAACCGGAAGATGACTTGATAAGTTCGGATCAAACTTATCAACGTCGGTTCATACATTATGACGTCGCTGATATGTTCGGGTCAAAGTTTTAAAGCCGGGTTAACGTATTTGACGTCACAAAGCCGTGATATGCAATTTTTTTTAAAAGCAGAGCAGAGTGATATAGACAGTGAAACGACCGATAAATATAGATCATAACATTTTTCATATCAGACCCCTTATCAGCCCTAGGTCATGATATCAGCCCGAGAGCCGACAGGCTCGAGGGATGATTTTGACCATGGGCTGATAATGGGTCTGATATGAAAAACGACATGTTATGTTCTTTTTATCATATAATTCATGTTTTAGATACATTACGTGCTTTTGATGATCCTTTTTATTCTCCTGACAGTTTTGACTTTTCAACTCTTTACACTACACTTCCAGATAGTCATATAGAAAAAACATATCATAACCACAGCTTAAGGCCTCTTCTGAACATTTGGAGGTCCCTACTATGTATTGGTTTCCTTAACTACACAAAAAAACAACAGTAAAATATCGTTTCATCTCGGCCTCTAGTAAGTGTTCTACTACTAATAGTTCAAGGCTTTTAACAAGTTCCTTAACTACTATTAAAGAACTTATTATTAACTTTTGTAATAAAATATATGAAAATAGTGGAATTAACTATTTTTGGAATGTAAAATAATTCTTTGGATGTTTTAGATACATTACGTGCTTTTGATGATCCTTTTTATTCTCCTGACAGTTTTGACTTTTCAACTCTTTACACTACACTTCCACACAATCTATTCAAACAAATTTTTCCTATTTTATTAAATGGTCGTTTGGTAAATCTCAATGCACATATATTTGCTGCAACTCATTTAAAAGCATTGAGTACCCAAAATTCCGAAAGTTTTGTCAAATACAGCTAAGGTAATCTATCCCTGGGTTAAAAAGTCCTAAGTATTTCGACAATTTCTAAGTTTTGTTAACTGTTAATTTATAACAATGACCAAATCGATGATAATTTATGTCAACACAGAATTGTTGACAACTGGGCTAGTGAAACCGTCAGGGAGGAAACCTCCACCATCAATGGCATAGACCCAGTAGTTTCAGAGATACCACGCGTACAAATTCTGTACACCAGACGCGCGTTTCGTCTACAAAATATTCATTATTGACGCTCTAATCAAAAAATAAAAAGGCCAAAAAAATACGAAGATGTAGAACAATGAAAACCCAGAATTCCGAAAGGTTTTGCCAAATACAGCTAAGGTAATCTTTTCCTGCGACCCAGATTCGTAAGATATATCGAAGAACACTGTAGTTTAGTATATGACTTTAATTTTCGGTGGCCAAAGAACCAAACAAGATCAGACACACGTGTACGGGTTTCTCCTTTACATGAAGCATTATTCAATTTGAAAAATCTTTTAGGTTTTTACATGTAACTTTAGATATATACATACAAACAGGCAATTTAGTATTGAAACTTGAATATCCAAGGTAAACTGACCGCAGAAGTCTTTTATATGACTTCATGATTCAAATTATATTCCATGCGAAAAAATGTACAATCAGACCGATTATATTTATCATTGTCCGGAGCAGCTCTTTCCTCAAACAAAACTTATGCATTGACTAATTGATATGTTACTCTTACAATGTAACTCTTCTTTCATAAAGTAGGAGAATTTTTACTAGTACTATAAAAGAGGGACGAAAGATACCAGAGGGACAGTCAAACTCATATCTTGTGAACTAACTGCATACAAAATGTGTTATTTTTTTTATATTAGCTCTGAACACATGTATTATTCTTTCAAATGAAACCGTAGAGTGTGATGATATACTTAAAATCTATAACAAATTCCTTTAAAGCTTTAGAAAAGAAAATATCATTTTATGTATCGAAATGTATAACTAGCGATAATTTACATACTTACTAGAAGGCCTCTGACACGACTGTATATTTGCAAAATCATTGTTCTTGATAGCCTATTAAAACAAGTTAAAGGTACCAGTAAATGATTTGGCGAAGAATGTAGAATATACAGTGTTCTTCTTAACCGCATAAAAAAACAGGGAAGTTAGGAAATCAGTTATATAATGATAAAATAGACATGAGTAGGTAATTGAAATACAAAAATCATGGTTATTGGTAATGAATATTACAAAACACTTTATTAAAGCTCTAGTCCTGAGATATGCCACGCTTTACTGGATTTTGGAAATAGATGATAGCTTTACTCCAAAAGCTTAGTTATATTTTTATCATAACGTAAAATTAATCCAACTTTTTTTTTGTGAATTTGACTGTAACGCGTTAACAAAAATGATAGCCAAAAGAGCCTGTCGTAATACTAATCTCTATGAGACTTAATAAAACACCTTAGAGTTTTTGATTTTGTGACTGATTTTTAACAACAAAATGACTCTTTTTCAATAGTGAATTTTGGATGTTTGTTAAATACAGATGTTAAACTAAAACTAATATACATTGTTTTAGCAAAGAGACTTACAAACTGGTACCATCTAAAATCCATAGTGACGATAATAATAGTAATATAATAATCGGTATTTAAAATTAGATATACGTGAAATACATTTTGTACTTGACGTTTTAGATTATGCTAAATACTTTTATATCTATGGGATCATTATGTTTTATTGATATTTTTTTTAAAAATGATCATTATATAAAAAAATAAGGAGATGTGGTATGATGAGACAATTATCTACCAAAGTTCCAAATGAATTGGATATTATCAATTATACTTTCACAATGAGAAAAACCAATGCCGCATAGTCGGCTATAAGAAGCCCCGACTTGAAAAATGTGAAACATTTCAAACTGGAAAACTTACGGACTAAATTATAGCAAAGCAATTTACGAAAAACAAATATGACACACACAAACCAACATTAACCACTGAACTACAGGCTCCTAACTTGGGACAGGCAGTTGATTTTATGTTAACCGAAATTTTGATTAAACGGGGCACTTAAAAAGTCAGCAAAAATATTATATCCTTATGTTAAAAGACATATATCAATTAATTGGTGAAATTCTCAAAAAGTCGAGTGAATGATCAATCTGAAAAAAAAAATATACCTAAAATTGAGAAGATCACAGAAAATTATAAGCGAGAGAATATATGTGATAAGGTTGAAAGCTTAATATTATATAAGAAGTACGTTTACGGTGGTTTCAAAATGGCATAAATTGATTTTACCGGTGCGACACAATAATGGGTTTGACTATTGACTGACGAAATTTAGAAAACTGGACAATTATACCACCAAGTAAACCCACGTGTAATTTCAAGAAGTATGGGAGAATAAACTGTACCTTTTCAAAAATATACATTTTACGTGTACGAAGCGCTTTTCTTGATTTACTTTCATCAGGAACGCTCAAAGCCAAACATTAGAAAAGTAATAATGTATAAGTACCAAAAAAAGTGAAGAGCTATAACTTGTGTATTTTTGGAATTGAAAAAAATAAGTATAACAGGCAATGGAATTTGATAAAAACATTAATGATTCAATTTGTCTGCACCATATCCGCATTTCGACAACAAATTTCTCTTTAGTGATGCTCGAGGCCCACATATTCTAATCACAATTAAGATTAGTAAGCACAATATGTTCTTGATCAATGAGATAATTAATTCAACAGGAAGTATTTCTGTAAACGTATTTGATAAACTGGAAAAGAAACCTAGCTTGAAATTTTAACTATGTACTAGAGCTAAAACAGAAAGTTGGAAACAAGATAACATAGAATAAATACTAAAATTAACGTTCAAAAAGAAAAAAAAACCCAGTCAATCATAGATCATTAACAATCTAAACAAAGTTACTTGCTACGAGGTGTATGATACAGTAGTAAGGTCCAATGTACAGCTTTCAGTTATTGTTTCGGTGGAAAATATACAAAGAAAAATGAAATTTTACTCATTGTGTTAAGAATAACTAATATTTAAAATTCAAATATTTTTTTTCACATAAAAATGGGCAAAATTAATTGACATTAATACACAAAATATTTATGTATTTATATATTAGTTAACTTGTATAACCGGTATTAAATTGTATAATTCTTTCCACTGTACTAAGTAAAAGGGAAGATCTACCATTAACCAACATTGTCAACCTCGCTACATTCTTAATTTGTCTGTCCAAAAACAAGACCGGTGTTGTCCTTAGTGGCTGTCTGCCATAATTGATTTTCATTCGGTGTTGTTTGCGTTAATTCTTTTAGTTGTTGTGTATAGTTTTTAGATTGTTTCCAATTTTGTTATCATGGACTAATAAAATTTTTTTACAGATAACGAATCTTGCTCATATTTGAAGAGTTTTAAGGTAACCTGTCTTTGTTTTTATATTTGTCCTTTGAATGATTGTTTAATTGTATACCATTTTAGTAATTTAGTTTGTTTTTGTATTAAGATTGAAACAGAATCAGCGACTCATTTAATAAGAAAACTTAAGAGAATAAATACTCGGACGTCATGAACATTTTAATATAACTAACGATGGATTTTTGTTGAAGGATTTTTTTGTTAAAAGAGACCCTGTTGCGGTACTGATCCTTTAACCGGGGATTAGAGAGTTGATAACAGGCTAGAGACTCAAAATATCGAACGTCCTATCACATCAAAAGCAAAATAAGCTTGTATTTGTAGTATTTGTATTTTTATCTATCTGATGATTAAGCCTCTTTCAACTGATTTGTATAGTTCGTTCTTATGTTGTACTGTTACACCACTGTCCCAGATTAGGGGAGGGTTGGGACCCGCTAACATGTTCAGCCCCGCCACATTCTGTATGTATGTGCCTGTCCCAAGTCAGGAGCCTGCAATTCAGTGGTTGTCGTTTGTTTATGTGTTATATATTTATTTTTCGTTCATTTTTTGTACATAAATTAGACCGTTAGTTTTCTCGTTTGAATTGTTTTACATTGTCATTTCGGGGCCTTTTATAGCTGACTGTGCGGTATGGGCTTTGCTCATTGTTGAAGGCCATACGATGACCTATAGTTGTTAATTTCTGTGTCATTTGGTCTCTTGTGGAGAGTTGTCTCATTGACAATCATACCACATCTTCTTTTTTATATCAGAATACTGGTGAATGCTGGTGTGGAGTACGGAAAATGAATTACTCCAGAACTAACAAAAGTTTTGATATACTATGAACTCACGAGTTACTGTCCACTTAAAAAAGAATATGGTTGTGGATGCTACATCTCTGGACGACAACTTTATTAATGCTCAGACACAGAAAGGCAGGGAAAATATTACACGAATCATTTTTTTGGATTACCTACGAATTCCAAAAACCTTCATACGTGCCATTGTTACAAACAAGAGAGTGCACAAGCTGGAATTTATTGCAAGCTTTATTGATTGATGTAATGTTGAAAATCTTCAAGACCAACGTCTTGCTACTAGTAAAACATAATATTAAAATTATACAAAATTATACAAAATAGCAAGGTCAAAGGTCGAGGTCAAATGAACCCTATCGAACAAACTTACCCATAAATTCTTTTTTAAATTGAAAACAATTGGTCTTTATCTAACTGTTTATGTGAAACAAACCTATCCACGAACATGTAACACTGATCAATGTACGGAAAAAGTCCTGGCAAGATCAGATCTTACTGACGGACATATACAAATAACAATAAATCGATAAACCATACATAGTTGTCCGATAATTCATAATAACTGAAAGCAATACATTATAGAAAAACAGTTTTGTAAAGTGATCGTTGAACCATAAAATAATTTCAAAGACAATTGGAGTAAGTAGACCATACGGCATCTTATTCGTGTTGCGCAGTCTTCAGTTTTCCATTTTTTACCATTGCATTGTCAATATATAGATATGAAGATATGGTATTTCCAATGAGACAACTATCCACCAAATTTAAATGAAGTGGATGTAAGCCATTATAGGCAACCATATAGCATTTAACTATGAGAAGAAAAACCATACCGTATAGTCGCCTATAAAAGACACCGACTTGTAACCATGGTAACCTGTTCCTTAACAAGTATCAAAGAACTTATTATTAACTTTTGTAATAAAACATATATATGAAAATAATGGAGTAAATTATGTTTGGAGTGTATATTTCTTTAAACATAATACATGATTTTGGTGGTCTTTTTGATTCGGTGGACAGTTTAGACTTTTCCCACTCTTAATACTACACTTCTCATCAAACAAAAATTTAACTATTTAATTAAATGGTCGTTTGAAAAATAAAATTGCAAATTTATTTTCTGCAATTAGAACTTTGAATACGATCTGGATTAAAATATTAATCCTTTAAATAAACTTATTCAAACAAGTTACTAATTCAGCACTGTAGTGAGATCTTTGAATATTGTTTTTATTGATATACATATTGATTTGGTTATCAGTAAATTTAAACCACACTAAATATTAGTGTTATACACTTATGCACATTCACAGTTCTACAGTCTGTCGATACATATATTTTGGCATTGCACAAGGTCACGTTTTTCTCTGACTGTTATCCCAGATGCCAATTAAGACCAAACAACAAATTGGCAGTATGTGGCCACAGCCTTTAATATTATTATTCTCATAATTTATACATGTTGTATATAACTGAAAAATGAGGTTACCCGCATATCGCTGATTATGGCAACCGTACTGTCATATATATATATATATAAATTACTACCACAGATAATGGTAACTGAAGATAGGATTAAAACAATTTGGAAATCACCGTGGGAACACAGGTGATGGATCGAAACCCTTACATTGTTCATCTGTAGTAAATGATCCTATTCATAAAACAAAATGTTTTTTGATGCAGCGAATTATGCCAAATTGACAGTGAAACAGAATAATGATTCACTGTCAACCGCCATATAATGGAGGTTCGCTGCCAAGCTGTGAGCCAAATACATTCACTAATAATCAAAGCAAACTTTAAGTTAACTACAAGTAAAGTT